TCTTGATGATRAGATGACTCTTCTTGAGTCATCTTTCCTAGGAAAAATGAAGCATGCTTTTCTTGGAAGAATTTAAATGTGAGAAAGTGGCATACTCAGGAAATTTCCCAGTTAACTGTAGGTGAACCAGACTGATCTTTTCTCCCCCTGGGCTGGGTACATATAACACTGCAGCACCCTGGTGCCTGAAGGACACAGCATGAGCCTCTGAGGGCTGCAAAACTTGTCTATTTTGAGTTTGCAGTGAACAAAATGAAGCAGAAGTTACTGGGCTGCATGTGGGAATTGAAATGTAAGGCTGTGAAATATGGGAGAGGGGAATCAGACTGGGTAGTCTCTCTCTGCATTTGAAATGTCTATGAACATTGTTGAAATACTGCGTGTGATCGTTTTGCATGGCTGGAAATAGCTCTGCAAGGTGCCGGGTGGCAGTGCAAGCCAGCCCTTGGCATCACACAGCTCCCAGCATCGCTTTGCTGTCACACCGGGAGCTTTGCTGTACAAAGAAAGAACAACTGGAGTCTGCTGCTTTGTCCATGTTACAAGGAGGTAAATTAAAGGCTAGAGAGATTTTAATTTGCTGCAGGACACAAAGAACATCGGGGCAGAAGTGAGACCTGCGAGCACCGGCTGACARTCCCTTGCCCTGACTTCTGAATGATGTGGGATTTGTTTCCTTCGTTAAAAATAACCTTGTTTATAACCTCTCTTTCATGATTCAGCTTTTCTGCAGTCATCAACTGATCGCCATCAAAGCAGGGCAGCATCAGATTTCAGGAGGAAGCTGCAATAGGCTCTTGCAGCTCAGGCGTGCACCTTGCAAAGGGCAGTTTGGTGGAGGAAATGAGGGATAGCTTGTCAAAGGGCTGCTCTTTTTGGAGAGGAGTTCTCCTCTCTGAGATCWCTGTGCCAAATCCTAAACTGCCTGGAGCTCGTGTTGTGCAAATCCCCACGCATGGCTTCTGCCCTGCCAGAAACACCAGTGCCTCATCACCATGAATRTGGCCCCGTGCAGGCCCAAAGCTACAGACAAACGTGGTTTTCCTGGTTCCTCTCCTCCTTCTTGCCCCTGGGTCAGAGCATCAGACATGCGCTGCTCTACATACGGCGACCCGGAGCCCTACCAGTGGCACAGCTACCAGTTCTACCTTTAAAGCARCACTCATTGCCAAGAAAAATCTCCTAGAAAGCCCCACACACCCACTTTTATTCCTCGCACTGTGGTGTGACGTGTCTCACGAGCAGCACAGCTCTCCAGGCTTCTAATGACCATGTTGCCAGGGTTTGCTAACTGCTGTATTATCTCGCCTGCAAAAATCAGGCTACACAGCTGCAATCCGCATCCCATCGAGCAGACTGGGGAGCGGAGGCACAGAATGGGAAGGACCATCCCTTTCCAAAATCTACTGGTGATTTTTGGCTGCGTGGGTCAGCAGCTGCTGGCCCAAGTGACGTGCCCATGGACGCACAAATAATTGGTAGCAAAGACCCAAACAAGAAGCCAAACCCCTGTGACACAATCCTGTGGGTGCAAATTTGTGCTGGTCCTTCTTTTTTTTAGGAGCGAATCTTTTGTCCTTGCAGGAGGAGGAATTTTCCATAAATGTGGTATTTTTTTTTTACACCTCATTGTGTGTTTAATGTTTAACAGTGGGATCATTATGGTTTTATTAGCAGCCTGTAACGCTTTGTCATCTTCAACTGACTTTGCAAACATTAACTAATTGATCTCAACTATGAATCAGCGCTGGTAACCAGGAAAGGAGGAGAAGTGGTCTGCTGGTGGTCACTGGGGAAGTGGCTGTCAGATCAGGGCACAGAAAACAGGGCTCACACTTTGTTGCTCAGACCACGAACACGACAGTTTTATTATTGTTATTTCTATTAGTGCTGCTGTCAGGGAGGGCTATTCTGTATGCAATGAGCAAACCTCAGTTGCTTTTCCCTGCCTCTGGTTGAGCTCGTGCTTGAAAAGATGTCACCAAACCCCCAAAAATGCTGAATTAAAAAAAAAAAAAAAAAAAAAAAAAGTGACTGACTCTGTTTTCCTCAGTGATCCAGCAGTTGCTGGTTGCTTTCCGCTCCCCCTGACAAAATGCATAATTCAATTATCTGTATTTGTGGGAATTAGATGCTAAAGTCAGAAAGGAGCGGGGCTGCTCGCAGCCACAGCAYGAGAGAGGTTTTTAAGGGCCACATCGGCAGAGACTGACTCGAAGCATCCTGAAGCCGGCTGCCAGGAAATTAGCTCCTCGTTTGCAGTATGCAGAACATGTACGGCGGCTTCATGATTTACTCGCTCATCTGCTTCACATTGCGCCTACTCTCCCTCGCGACTGTCCTGGCGTACGCAATCTTCTGTTGCAAAACAGGAGTGAAAATGAGCACTGCAGCGTGGAAGAGCTGTGCCACTACCCAGGTAAGGGTGGCCAAGSCTGGCAGGGACACGGCCCCTCTCCGAGGAGGGGAGTGGCAACAGCTTCGGGGACGGAAAGCTGTGGTGGTGGCTTTGAGGACAAACGAGATGTTTTTGGGGGATGTGATGGTGGCTTGGGGGCAGCGGGGATGCAGCCCCTCAGGGAGGGGGGGGCAGTGATGGCTTTGGACATGAGGGTGGGTGCGGTGGGGGGATGTGATGGGGACTTTGGGGACAGCAGGAACAGAGCGGGAAGGTGTAATAAAGGCCTTGGGAACAGCGGGGATACAGTGGGGACATGTGATAGTGGCTTTAGGGACAGGGGGTACAGGGTGGGAAGGTGTGGTGGTGACTTTGGTACAGTGGGAACACGGTGGGGCCTTGTGATGGTGGCTTTGGGGACAGGGGAGACAGAGCAGGAAGGTGTGATGGTGGCTTTGGTGATAGGACATAGTGGGAGTGGTATGTGACAATGATTTTGGGACAGCAGGGACACAATGGGGGGATGAGATAGTGGCTTTGGGGACATTGGGGTTGCAGTCCCTCAGCAGGTGGATGCGACGGTGTTTTTGGGGACAATGGAGACACACAAGAAGGTGTGATGGTGKCTTTGGGGACAGAGAGAACACAGCAGAGATGTGTGACAGTGGTTTGGGGACAGTAGGGATTCAGCCCCTCGCTGGGRACTGAGATAGTGGCTTCAGGGACAGAGTGAAGAGGCATGATGGCTTCTTGGATGGAGGGAATACAGCCCCTTAGAAGGTTGATATGATGGTGGTTTTGGGGACAGTGGGGACACAACAAGAAGCTGGTGGCTTTGGGGACAGCAGGGACAGAGTGGAAACATGTGATAATGACTTGGGAACAGCATGTATACAGTGGAGGTTAATGATGGTGGCTCTGGGGACAGAGAGGACACAGGAGGGATATGTGACAGTGATTTGGAGACAGGAGGGGTGCAACCCCTCAGTGGGGGCATGTGACGGGGTGGTTTTGGGGACAGCGGGGACCCAGCAAGGAGGTGGCTTCAGGGATAGAGGGGACACGCCATGGAGGTGTGATGACAGCTGGGGATGGAGGGGACACGGCGGGGAGGTATGGCGGTGGCTCGGGGACAGCGGGGATGCAGCCGCTCAGCAGGTGGCGGTGACTCTGGGGACAGGTGGGCTCGGTGCCGTGTGCGGTGGCGGGGCAGAGGTGCGGTGC